AATATATTTCTACAAAACTATTCGTGATGTATCAGACAAGATGTCTTCCATCTTTTCACTTATTGTATATCGAAAGGATAGAACATAAACAAATATGAACAGAATAGGGTGATCAGATACAATGGTATAACGGTCATTTTATTTTGCTTTCTTTCATATACTCTTTGTTTTTCATATGCGTTTGACTATATTGTGTTTTCTGGCGAAGTAAATGTTCGCTTTTTGACTGATCATTTCATTTCTCTAACAATCTTGAGAGTTACGTGTGTAAAGAATTTCTCGTATATACTCTGGTAAGTTGTTATAATGAAACCTGCTGCTACTGTTTTAAAATCAAGACCTAAACGTGTTTCGAAAAGACGGGAAAATGATAAAACAATCGGAAAAGATCAGTCTACAACAACAACTTCAGCAGGTTCTGATCATGATGATATTCTTGAAGAAAAATCAAGAATCTCGGCTAATGTATGGGAGCATGCCAGAAAGGATGGAAATGATGATGAATTAGCGATTTGTTCGATTTGTGGTAAATCGATTTCACTCAGCAATAAATCAACAACAACTCTTAGAAATCATTTAATTGCAGTTCATGGAAAAACCGAATTAAAACTTGAAAATATAACAAAAACAAAACGTACTATTCCAATAAACAAAAAACATGAACTTGATGAACTTTGTTTGAAATGTATCGTACAAGATGGTAGAGCGTTTGGTGATTTACGTAAAACAGGAATTTTGAAACTATTTCGAGCGGTAATGCCTGGTAAGCTAGTAGAATTCGGCTTTTCAAACCATTATTCAGATGCCATTAGAAAAGACTATAAAGATTTAGACAGTTTGATAAACCTCATCGAGTTAGCCAGAAAAATCACACATTTTAAAATTTCAGACAATTATTTCTGGGTGAAAAAGATCCCCGAAAATTTAAAATTTAGTGGCTTTTTAACAAACAACTTTGAAGAGAACACTTTAGAGTACCTACCCATGAAAAAAAAAACTTTTATTATTAGCTTTTTAGGAGTTACACGGTTTCTAATGATTCACTGCAAAACCTACTTTAGGAGATTTTCAAAATGACTTTTGTGATGAAAATATGCGGCCAGGTCTTGGCTTCTGATTGATGAAGACCACAAGTCTCTATCACTTTTCTGTCAAACGTTATTCAAAAAACATCCAAGTCCATTTTTTTTTCTCAACAATAGTTGTTTATAAAAAAGTCACTAAATTTTTAAATTTTCAAATTTTTTAAGTTTTCATCCAGAAATAATTATGTGAAATTTATAGGTGTTTGAATACATGAAGCCAAATTTCCGGTGGTAGTTGATCAATTAAAGGTTTATTGACGATCGATTCTTTCACTTCGGCTTCGAGTAAACGTGGATAGCAATATCGAATTGATAATGAACGTTCATATAATTGTCTAGTATAAATTGTTTTTGCAAATTGACCAAAATTCTGATATGATTTCAGTTCACTCTATTGTGCTTCACGAAAAAACATTTAAACAAGCCAGATAATCGTCTGTTACTTTTGGGCAAACAGCAAATCCCAATGGTTTTTCCTTTCGTTTAACCATTACGTCGGTTCTCAGTACTATAGTTTTTGTCGCACCAAGATCATTCTGCACCTCTGGTGCACCGCTTGTGCCACGGCTTCATGCAACAGATTATGTGTAAATAGAACAAAATAAATAAAATACGTGTTAATAACACCTAATTCTATAATTTTCTTCTTTCTAAACAATATATATATATATATCACTTCAGTCACTTAATGAGGATTGAACTTTCGATCCATTGTATTTATGATTAATTTCATTCTCGATTACGAGTGTAGTGTGATCTATATTCCGTATATCTATTATGAATAAGAAATGAATTAAAGTGAAAAGAAAAAGAATGGAGGTGCGGGGCATCGATCCCCGTGCCTTGCGCAT